TTTTCAGAGATTGAGGTATACCTGACGAGAAGATGTGTCGTAATTTCCCGAACGCTGCCCAGCCGAGTTGAATCCGTCGATTGACCTCTCGGTCAACTCTCGGTTGGACTTACCTAGTCGGATTATTTGTCCCAGGTAAACGTACTCGTCAACGACTTCGAGCATAGTGCTCCCAACAACTACCGGCATAGGTGTGACATGGACATTAAACATGATCTTTGTTTTGTTCATGTTCATCTTAAGACCTATCCGTTGGGAGACACCATTGAGGTCATTGAGCATAGTGCTAAGGTCCTCCAGCGATTCTGCCATAAGGACTATATCGTCGGCAAATCGAAGGTGAGTGATGTACTCGCCATTGATGTTAATACCGTATCCTTTATAGCCATCGTAGCCCTACTGTACAAACACTTCAGCACTTCGATATACGCACAGTCAACTTGGCACCGCTGAAGGGACTGTAGCACCGCCCAAATTACGCCAGGCAAAGTGGCAGATTGTACTCTTCGGTCTTCTGTACAATCTGCCGCAGGGTATGTATGTGGTCTATGGTACTGAAGCCTTTTCGGAAACCGGCTTGTTCGGGAGGCTGGAAGTCGTCGAGTCTGCGTGCGAGACGATTCGTAATGACTCTCGAAAACAGCACGTAGACGCGGCTAAGAAGGGAAATCGGTTTGTAGTTCTTCAAGAGAGCGTTGTCGCCTTTCTTAAAGAATAAGCTCCACGCCTCCGGAGTAGTGCCACCATGGAGGACGGAATTGAAGAGCTTCTGAAGGGCTTCAAGTACCGGTGTTCCACCCGCTTTCAGAAGCTCCGCTGTAATTCCATCCTCGCCTGGGGCCCTGCCGTTTTTAAGGTGCTGGAGAGCCATTCTAATCTCGCTCAGACTGACGTCCGGGATATCATCGGACATATCATTTTTAAATTCAGGCTGCCTGGAAACTGGGATAGACAATTGTGTTTGTTCAACGCCAGCCCGTAGCACCCCACTACTACACATGCACAAAGGCACAAAGGACACCCGAGGCACAAAGGAATGTTCTAGTTTGTACCCCGGGTAGGAGACATAAGAAGAGTATCAGCCGGAGGGGACACCTGCGTCTCGGCCAGAAAGAGCAGAGCCGGTTTCGCCGTCTCCAGATAGTAGTGGACGGTGATTAGGTTCGAGTGAAGTCCCCTGATATTGCAGAAATTCACGGATATTGCAGAAATTAATGGATATTGCAGAAATTCACGGATATTGCAGAAATTCACGGATATTGCAGAAATTCACGGGCCTTTCCAGTTATAAGGACGTTTTTCCTTAATTTTGTAGAACAAAGTGGTGATTGCGATAGGCTTTTTTTTAATTCGATACCATCGATGGCTAAAGTGTAAACTAAGAGTACTATTTACACATTTTATAATTAACATAAATTATTTTCTTGTTCAGAAAAATTAAATAAATTAATACATTACAAAATTCTTCTATAATATCTTAAAAATACAAACTTTAAAGTTAGTTTAGACAATATAAATCATTATTCAATGATAAATCTTTACTACAGACAAATCAATAAACGAATATGTAATTAAAAAACTTTCAACCTTGCTTTGTTACATTAGTTACCTGGACATTCGATTAAAAGAAACGATAAATGTAATTAAAGTGAACTTGGCACGGCTAAGCAAATATCTGATGGGGTCAATTCAATGATCAATCAAGTATTGGGCCTTGTTGCTGCGACATAAAAAGTTTTGAAATAGAAGCAAATGGTGAGGATCAGTTCGGATTATTTCCAAATTGAAATCTTAGAATAAGTCGATATTATTCGATATTTGAGCCGACTGCCCAGTAAATATTAACTTCCTTGTATTTAACTTGTAAATATTTCGAAGTCCCGCGAAATCCGACAACACGCCAACAACTGAGGTAGCGCGGCAGATATTTTATAACCTAACCTAATAACCGGAAGCCTATGCCGCATAAATATGTTTTCTTGAACTATCGGAGATAAATTTTATGCCGCCAATACCAATACGACATTCGAAAACACTTTTTGATAAACTTTACTTTTTAAGTTGGTTACTTTACTTACTTTCCATATGCTACGATTGTCCCTCACCACAGAAATAATAATAATAAGTCAATATTATATTCGATTTCTGTGTCCCTTACCATCAAGTATACTGTAAGCTCGTTTGTTAAATATTATAGTAAAAAATCGATGCTGAATATTATAATAAAAATATTATTACTTAATCGAATGCGGATGATACTAAATGACGCAATGTGCCGCAAAATATAAGTCATTTAGCTGTGGACCTAGGGTGGACCAGACCTTAGGATGTTTATTTTATGCTGTTATAGTACCTGCTGTTATAGTAGTAGTAGTAGTAGTAATACGAGAAGAATAGTGAGTTTTTTGATTTTATCATTAATAGTATTACTATGTGTCGCAATTTCCCGAAAGCTGCCCAGACGAGTTGAATCCGCCGACGTCTCGGTCGAAGTTGGATTTACCTAGTAGGACTATTTGTTCCAATTAAACATACTCGTCAACAACTTCAAGTTTAGTACTCCGTACAACCATCGGCATAGGTGTGACGTGGACATTACACATGATCTTTAATTTGTCCATGTTCATCTTAAGACCTGTCCGCTAGGAGGCACTATTGAGGTCATTGAGTATAATGCTAAGGCCCTCCAGTGATTCTGCCATAAGGACTATATCGAAGGTGAGTGAAATACTCACCATTGATGTTAATACCGCATGCTTTTCAGTCCAGTAGCATAAAAACGTCATCCAATGCAGCGGTGAAGAGTTGTGCTGTGAGAATGATGCTGAGATGAGCTGAAGAGATGTGCTCAGATAGCCATCGTGGCCCTACTGTACACGCTTCAGCACTTCGATATACGAAAATTCGACTTGGCGCCGCTGAAATGACTGTAGCTCCACCTAAATTATGATGGAATCAAAGACTTTCTCATAGGCCACACACGCAAGGTAAAGTGGCAGATTGTATTCTTCTGCCTTCAGTTCCATTTTACCGAATTGTGTGGATATGGTATATTGTACTAAAAGCCTTTTCGGAAACTGGCTTCTTCGGGAGGCTGAAAGTCGTTGAGTCTACTTGAAACAATTCGTAATAACTTTCTAAAATAGCACGTACAAGCGTATCAGAAGGGAAATCGGTCTGTTGTAGTTCTTTAAGAGAGCGTTGTTGCCTTTCGTGAAGAACGAAACCACCGCACTTCTGCTCCACACCTCCGGGGTAGGCTCATCATGGAAGACGGAAGTAAAGAGCTTCTGAAGGACTTCAAGTACCGGTTTTCCACCCGCTTTCAGGGTTGTTTCGCCTGGGGACTTGCCGTTTTTTACGGGGAGAGCCTTTAATCGTCCGGAATATCATCGGAATAGTGTCGGATGACTTGCCTTGTCTTGTAACCTCAAAACTCGAAAACTAGATTATACAACGAGTGATGACTTATGGATCTGAGACATGGGAAGGCACTGCTGGCCGGATGAGGACCCTCAAAGTCGCTCAGCGAGCTGTGGAGAGGGTTATGCTCGGGGTTTCTCTGCGTGATAAACTTATAAATGACAATAGAACCAGAGTGACCGACATAGCTCAACGGATTACTAAGCTGAGGTGGCAATGGCCCGGCAATATAGCTCAAAGAACCGACAACCGATTAGGAAAGAAGGTTCTCGAGTAGCAGCCTCGTACAAGTAGGCAAGGCGCAAGTGTAGGGTGACCACCACTACATGTATTCACGACCTGGTAAGACATGGAGGAAGTCGATGGATGCATGTATCTCAAGACCGTTCCTTGTGGCATTCGTTGGGGGGAGACCTATGTTCTGCAGTGGACTTCTGAAGAACTATAATGATGATATCAAGTGATCACAAATAAACCTGAGAACATGATTTAAGCAAAAAACCCTATTTTACTAGGTGGTAGCCTACGTACGCCTCTCCCGCCTGTAAGTTATGGGTAAATATCAACCTCTCACCTATTTTTTCCGTTAAATGGCAGTGTTTGCAGTGATTTTTTTGGTTTATGTACTTATTATTTATTTTGTATTAATTTTTATATTATCCATTTATATTATTATTTGGAACAAAAGTACTGTTTTCGTAGTTACAAACCACACATGTCTTTTGTTCTCATGCAATTCTGTCCATTCAATTTTTTTCCGTAAGAAATCGCTTTTATTGTCAAGATAGCTTATTTTATTACTATTCTTTTTAAGCTATTTTTTGTGCTTATTTATATTTTTTGGCGTACAAAAAGATGATCAATCTATCTATCTACAATATAGACACGTTGTTACTACTGAGGACTAAGATAGAATGCCTTCTCACCGGTAAAAAGGGTCTCCGATTCTCTACACTCATCATACACCACACCAAAAACACGCTCTCACAGAATAAAAGCGTAAAATAGCAGCTTAACGCTACCGTGTTTCGTATGGTAAAAAAAAGTATAGAAAACCGGAAACCAAAATGAGGAATTCTACCTTATAATAAAGATATTAATAGTTGTTTTGCAACCATCCGCTCAATTAAATGATGTGTGTTACCTAGTTTGAAGAGCACCTCCCGCCCTCCCTCCATTGCGTGCACTACTCCCGTCACCACTAATCCCAGTACCACTACTCCCAACATAGTGGTGTTCTACTTCTTCTTCTAACACCACTATTCTATGAAAGACACACCATCGACGATAATACGACACGTGTTTCGCCTCTACACGAGGCATCTTCAGGTGATGTAGACTCTACGGCGGCTGAGCGCTTAGCGGTCTAATTCTATCAATCATTGCGCCTTAGTCCTCACGGGTGACATTACATCTGCATTTTGATTCGTAATCGAGGATAGATGTAGATGTCTATAATTCACAGCAACCACTCAGCATCAGGTGGACTGTGTGCTCGTTTATCACCTCTATCCTATAAAAAAATCGGAAAAAAAATAAAAAATAGTAACTTAATACTTTATTTTCTTTCTGTCTAGTAGCGAGTGGCATCTTGGATGGGACAGAAGCTCGCTACACGGCGTCAGCTGGTATCATCTTCTGCATCCTGACTGTTGCAAGGAAGCTCAAAGTAAACATCGATTAAGTAAGTTTATCAGTTTTTCTGCGACTGTGATAATCATAAATATGTAATTTCAATAAAGTTATGAAGTTCCAACGATGATGTTTATGACGATGCGACGTTATCGCAGAAAAATAGTATGGAATGCGTCACAGCATTTAACAGTATAGGCTTTCTAAGCCGAGACACATAAGAGGATGCTGCTGTTATGCGGTAAAACAGTACTTTTATATTTCTTAATTTATTTGTTTAAACTTCGTTGTATAAAAATGTACACAGGCGGACTTTACGGCTTAAGCAGTTTTATTGCATGTTGTGAATGTAGTCAACAGACTGAATATTTTATCATTATAGATAACGGCTTCGTCCACTTGCTATATCGTAGTTCGATCGTAAAATTTGTCGTAATCTGCCAGAATTATTTCATACGTCTCCATTTTAAATTAATTTATAACTATGACTTCTGTTAACTTTGTAAAAAATACTAAATATACTAAAGCCGCGGTCATTTATATAATATATAAATTAGGTACAACCTTAATATGGCAGATAAATTATCGGTTAAATCAAGAAATGTCTAGACGGATCACGATTCGCCAAATTCTAGCCACCAATACAATCGCACTACGATACATCAATTTGCCTTCGACATTTTCCGTTTGTAAGCAGACGTCGCCGCTTGAGGTTGACAAATCTTACAACCTGCCGACTACATTTATGACAGTATCTTATTCTCAAATTTAAAAAAAACACCAAAGGAACAATTTAAGATATATATATATATATATATATATATATTCAATATTGTGCAGAATAACTATTAATATAGTTTAAAAATGCCTCGAATTCATACGTCGTATGACCAAATAGAATTACGAGTTGCAATGATAAATCGTTTTCGCCGACGCGTAATATGAGCCAAGCCGTCAGCCTGAACCGCTTCCTCCGAGCCTTAATAGATTTCTGCATAAACGCTATTTATCCGTAAGCTATGATTTATATGGCCGATGCTTAAGTGTCCTGAATATTTGATGATTATTAATGGACGTGCCTGTCAATGTATTATAGCTATGTTGTCATTATAGTGCTATACTATGTTAAGTAAAAGGGAATAAAATACATACAGTAATATTTATTATCAGTTATCTTGGGAAGAATATTTATCAAAGGAAGCTTTAGGTAAGGTTACCATTATAGAAACTAATAAAAAATTATCTGGATTACTTCATAGAAGGAATAATTTCTATAGTTGGCACGTTTGGTATGCGAGTTGCAAACCGCTGCCTTTTTTATTATTTTAAGTTGTTAACAGGTAGATGCTCCTGCTCGATCTCATCTTCCTGATTCCCCTGCCGGACGACACCCACGGGATAACACGAGGAAGCGGATTCTCTTATACCTTCACTCCACGGGGATATATGAATAAATTTTATTTTATTTTAGGAAATGATCGACTATGTAGAAAGTTCGTAGGGATTTTCCGTCAGGAGTTGTACTTCGATTTGAAGAGTAAGAGAGCCAGTATTAAGTATTACAAATTGTAAGACGTTTCATCTTATCCTGCATGACAACGCATCTGTAGACTTTTCGTTTGAAGTTAGTTGCAGGTTAAGTTGCTAACCACTTACCATCGGGTGTACTGTTAGCAAGTTAACCACTTTTTTAGTGAAAATAACAATTTCTTTTTGCCATCCATATTAAAAATGTTTACCACACTTGTTCAAATAAATCCATCTTTAATAACCAAACAAGTTTGGTTTGGCTTAAATATAATGTTATTTTGACGACATCGTTACGCAGTGGCTTAGCAATGAGTGGCTGCGCTGAGGGATGCGGGTTTGAATTCCGCACGGAACAAATATTTGTATGTCCTACAAATAATTGTTCCGGGTCTAGAAGTTTGTCCTTGTGTAATTTATGTATATAAACTACCTCCACGATACAGGAGAAAATCCTACTGCGGGTGTAACTTATATTTTTAGAAGCAAAAAAAATTTACCATAAGCAAGTGCAAATATAACACTAACAATAACTATACATCGATTATTAGGAGAATTTTTAAAACATGTCTAATGCTTTTGCTAAGGTCACTGCACACAAACCCGTCCTTGTCATCGCCGATTACTATATCATTTGAATGATGCCTCAAATAATTTGTGTCGGACTGTACGCTGCAAAGTCGCGTACCTACACTGCGTTTGTTACAGCTTACAGCCAAGAGTTTGCTGCGAATCACCAAGCAATTTGATATTGTGTATTGCACTCTATGCACACAAAATAAGACTAAATATTCTTTCTTGAAATACAATATTTATATTTGTTAAAATGTAATGAAGGTTAATGCCGGTTATTTGTGCAATCTTGAATGTTAGTTTTAGTGGAAGAGATTGACGACTGCTATGATTGTAGACGGCTTTATAACTGCAGGTGTTTTTATGCGAAAGCTTGTTTGTTTGAATGTTCTGTTGGTGTTTGAATACAACCGCATTATCTAGCACTTACCTACATTGCTCTGTAATGAGGATAATGATCGGTAGGTACACTGGCGCATGAGATTTGTAGATATTTTATCCGACTGCGACTTCGCCTTAAAACCTTCGCCACCACAAGTCCACTGCTGAACATAAAGCTCGCCATAGATTGTGTCAATGGGCGAAATATTTGGCATAGTAGCGGTCAAGTGGTCAAGTGATTTCTAAAGAGGCAGGGAAAGCATCGAAGATAATCCCCGGCCGGTTGGGCCATTCATAGCGGCCACAGAGTAAAATGTGAAAATTATTGAAAAACGTATTAGAAGATCCACGAGTAAGAATGAAGATGTTAGGAGAAATGACTAACCTTATATTTTATACGTGGTAGAGCCATGCTGCAGTTATATTAGTAGTATAGTTGTAGCACGAATGGGTGGGCTCGACCGGGGAAGGACCACGCTCTCACAGAATACCAGCGTGAAATAGTAGCTTAATTAATGCTGCTGTATTTCGTATGGTGAGTGTAGAGAACCGGAGACCCTTTTTACTGGAAACGAGGCATTCCATCTTAGTCCTCACGGGTGACAACGCATCTGCATTTTGATTCGTAATCGAGGATAGATGTAGATGTCTATGGGCCACAGCAACCACTTACCATCAGGTGGACTGTGTGCTCGTTTGTCACCCTATCCTATAAAAAAAAAAACCTATCCGTAGGTGGGGACTGTTGTGTATTGCATGACTATCCCAACCTCACAAAAGTCAGTGCAAGATGCCACGAATGCTCACTGCGCTTCAAAAGCAGGCGCGTGTTGACTGTTGTAGGGAGTTTTTAGAGCCTCCCCACCTCCCTTGGCTGATGGGTATCCTAATTTATCAAGAAAAGTTGCTGCTTATCTCCTGTTTTACTTCACTCTGTCGCCTGCCATGGGATGGTGTGACGGTATGAAATAATTTGTTTTGGTCTAATAAGTATAATAAGTGTGTGTATATGTATGTATTAGGGTGGAACGAAAAAAAAATGAGAATTTTATTTTGGAATAGTTGTATTATGTTGCCTAATGATATTAGTTAGCTCCATTTAAAATATAAATATTATCAGACAGCGGTAAAATCCCCCGCCAAGACACCAAACATTTACAAAAATTATAATTTAGGGGCTATTTACACAGCCTACAAAATAGTACAGAATTCATTACAATTCGTTTATTTTATTCAAAAACATATTCAAATATAGTAGTTAACAAACTGTTGCAATTAAACATTTCATTATTTTAATATAATTTGGCGCTGGGACAAAGAAGAAAAGTGCGGGACGAAGCGGGGGGGGGGGGGGGCACGTGACAATCTACGAATTGCAGTGTTTTGTTTAAACTAGTGTCGATAATTGTCTCAAGGTGAAAGGTCGCGCGTCAATTTTTTTCACGAGTACTTATTAATTTACATTTTTAAGTGTATTAACATGACTTTTACGAGACAAAAGTTAAAATGTCCAATATTTGGTGAAAGTGCAGAGTTGAAAGAGAATATTCTTCTTAAGTATGAAAATATGATGAAATTCTATGAATGAGTACAAGACTTAAAAGTAAGAAATAACACAAGAAAATAACCTACGTTTTTGGAAATTGCCGAAATAGTTGCAACGAAAATCGAAGAATTGTGGATAAAATCTTCTATTCTAATTATCACACACAAGTTTTACAGGTAATAAAAAGTTAAAAATGTTATAATTTGAAAAAGTCTTTGAAGAAACTTAAGGAAGAAAATTTAGAAGAGTTTAGAGTACAAAGTAGAAAGCTTTTTAACATAGCTGCATGTAAATGTAAAAAATATATAAGCTGTACTTGTGTAAGAGAAAAAAAAGTACCAAAAGGGGAATAAATATTTTTAGAAGACCAACGCTCTAACAGACTAATGGTTCCAGGAAGAACGGATCTTGTCCAGAGTAAAAAATTGCAGAATAGAAGATTACGTGCTCCTAAGCATGAAATCAGGCATAATTCAAATATAAGAATTAAAGAAATTCCTTCTTTTTAGAGTTTTCGAGTTTAGAGTACAAAGTAGAAAGCTTTTTTAACATAGCAGCATGTAAATGTAAAAAAATATATAAGCTGTACTTGTGTGAGAGAAAAAAAGTACCAAAAGAGGAACAAATATTTTTAGAAGACTAACGCTCTAACAGAATAATGGTTCTAGGAAGAACGGATCTTGTCCAGAGTAAAAAATTGCAGAATAGAAGATTACGTGCTCTTAAGCATGAAATCAGGCATAATTCAAATATAAGAATAAGAATAAAAAATAAAGAAATTCCTTCTACTTCGTATCGGCTAAATAGATCTGAAGTTTTTTCTAATGTCGACCTTCCTTCTTGCTCGTCGGCCGCAGATGGTATTGACACCACTCAAACAGTGGATCAAAAGCCTATAAAGCTCACAGATGCCAGTCTTCATAGTTTGATGACTGTATGCGATAGGTACGGAGTATCAGACAGAGCCGCACCGGCTATCGTATCATCTGTTCTATGTTCTGCTTCTGATGCCGACTCTGAGGCAC